TGTGTCTCAGGTAGACCCTCCTCCCTTGACTGCGCCGGTTGAGGTCACTGGTGACTCAGGTCCTCCTGAGAGTGGTCCTGCTCGGGTTGCTGCTTCTGGGGGTGCTGAGCCTGGGGGTGTTGAGCCTGGGGGTGCGGAGCCTGGGGGTGCTGAGCCTGGGGGTGCGGAGCCTGAGGGTGCGGAGCCTGGAGGTGCTGAGCCTGAGTGTGAGGAGTCTGGGGGTGCTGCACCTGCGGGCGCAGAGGCGTCTGGTGAGCAGTCTCCTTGGAGCGGCCGTCTCTGTAGTCGCTCCGCTGGTGCTTCGCCGCTCCACTCTCGTCGTTGACTCCCTCTCTCCCCACAGCACCTGCGTGAGTGGTACGTTGGCCGTCAGGGTCGCGCTGCTGGAGCTAGGGGCCCTGCTGCGGGAGGCGCTGGAGCTGGTGACTCTGCTACTGGAGTTGTTTCTGCTGGAGGTTCTGGAGCTGCTGAGGGTGCTGGCGCTGGAGGTTCTGGAGCTACTGGAGGTGCTGGCGCTGGTGGCGCTGGAGCTGGAGGTTCTGGAGCTGCTGAGGGTGCTGGCGCTAAGGGTTCTGAGTATGCTGTTACGCGGTCTCCTTGGAGTAGCCGCCTTCGTCCGCGTGTGCCTCTCACCTCACAGCAGCTGCACGACTGGTACGGTCGCCGTCAGGGTCGCGCTTCTGGAGCTCGGGGCTCTGCCGCTGGAGGTACTTCTGCTGACGTCACTGGAGCTGGGAGTGGTCCTGGTCCCGGAGGTGCTCGTACTGGGGGTACTGGAGCTGCTGGGGCTGGAGGTGCTAAGCCTGAGGGTGCTGCTGCTAGAGACACTGGGTCTGGGGGTGCTGCTGCTGGAGACACTGAGGCTGGAGACCCTGGGACTGGAGGTGCTGGTTCTGGGGGTGCTGCAGCTGGTGGAGCTGGTCCTGGAGGAGCTGGCGCTGAGGGTTCTGGAGCTGCTGGAGGTGCTGGAGCTGCTGGGGGTACTGGAGCTGCTGGTGCTGGTGGAACTCCACAGCCGCGCCTGTTCTTTGCTCCTCCGTCTCCGTCGTCCCAGCCACCGCCTGACTATGTGCTTCGCCAGGTTCTTAGTCTCCCTTCGTCTACTGGTCTTCCGTTACAGCCTGGCTCACCACTGCCTGCTCCTTCTCCTTACACTGAGCAGACAGGGGGTCTTACTGAGCGTCGTGAGCTTGCATCGCGTCCTGTCTCGCCTGTCCGTTCTGGTCGTTCCGGTCGCCGTGTCCCTCGTTCGCGTCAGCCGGCTGTCTCCGGCACCCACCTCGTCGTCCGTCGTCCTTCCTCTCCTCCGCAGCGTGTTCCCCTGCCGTCCCCTCCTGCGTCTTCTCTGCCTACCGTTCCTGAGCCTGAGTCTGACCGCACCCGTGCTGCTCACCCTACTGTTACGCGTCTGCTAGCCACAGTTGTCACTGACCCGTCGTTTGAGTCTGCTGCTGCGTCTGCCTTCGTCGCTGAGCTTGTTGACTTTGCTGCTGCCTGTCGTCTAGACTACACCGCTAGTCTTGTTGCTGAGTCTGAGTCTGTCTGTCCTCCGTCCGTCGGGGGTGAGTGTGCTCTTAGCACGGACGTCCTTGAGGACAGGCAGGAGGACCTTGAGTGTCTTGCAGCCGCTGCGCCTCATCTCGTGTCCATGCTGCTTGCTCCTGAGGGAGACCCGGATGCTTCAGACATCCCGACCCCGCGCTCTTACGCTGAGGCGATCGCGGGTGAGTACTCCTCTCAGTGGCAGACAGCCATGGACGCAGAGATGGCATCCTGGAAGTCCACAGGCACATACGTCGACGAGGTTCCCCCTCCTGGGGCGAACATCGTCAGTGGCATGTGGATTTTCAGGGTGAAGCGGCCGCCAGGTTCTCCGCCTGTCTTCAAGGCTCGTTACGTTGCTCGAGGCTTCAGTCAGAGGGAGGGAGTCGACTTCTTCCAGACCTTCTCCCCCACCCCGAAGATGACTACTCTTCGGGTGCTGCTGCACGTTGCCGCTCAGCGTGACTACGAGCTTCACTCTCTTGACTTCAGCACAGCCTTCTTACAGGGCAGCCTGCAAGAGGAGATCTGGCTGCGCCGCCCACCTGGCTTCACTGGGTCGTTCCCTCCTGGTACCCAGTGGAGCCTCCGGCGGCCAGTCTACGGTCTCCGCCAGGCGCCGCGTGAGTGACACGACACACTGAGGACGACACTTTCGGCTCTTGGGTTTGCTCCGTCGACTGCTGACCAGTCGTTGTTTTTGCGCACCGACACTTCGCTGCCGCCGTTCTACATCCTCGTGTATGTCGACGACTTGGTCTTTGCCACTGCTGACACTGAGGCTCTCGCCCTGGTGAAGTCAGAGCTGCAGAAGAGACACACGTGCACAGACCTGGGTGAGCTGCGCAACTACCTTGGCTTGCAGATCACCCGGGACAGAGCACGCCGCACCATCACACTGACTCAGTCACACATGGTGCAGCAGGTCCTTCAGCGCTTCAACTGCACCTGGTCCTCGGCACAGGCCACTCCTCTGACTACAGGTCACTCGCTCTCAGCTCCACCTTCGGACGAGTCCGTAGAGCCGAGTGGTCCTTACCCAGAACTAGTGGGCTGCCTCATGTACCTGATGACCTGCACTCGTCCTGACCTTGCGTACCCTCTTGGCCTTTTGGCTCGCTACGTCGCTCCTGGTCGGCACCGAAAGGTGCACATGGATGCGGCTAAGAGGGTACTACGCTACTTGTGCAGTACATCGGGCATGGGGCTCGTGCTTGGAGGACGGGGCGACGTTGTCCTCACTGGTCACTCGGACGCTTCTTGGGTTGACGACCAGGCTACGCAGCGGTCGTCATAGGGTTACACCTTCAGCCTTGGCTCTGGTTCAGTTTCTTGGCGTTCTACACGCTCGTCTTCAGTTCTCAGCTCCAGTTGTGAGGCTGAGATCTACGCCACAGCCATGGCTGCACAGGAGTTACGCTGGCTCACCTACCTGCTGACCGACTTGGGAGAGCGGCCCTTGTTCTCCTCCAGTGCTGTACGTCGACAACAAGGCCGCCATTGCCTTGTGTCAGGAGCACAGACTGGAGCACAGAACGAAGCACATCGCTCTGCGTTACTTCTTGGCTCGAGAGTTGCAGCAGCGTGGTCAGCTTCGTCTTGCTCACGTGGCCACTCGGGCCAACACTGCTGATATATTCACCAAGGCACTTCTGTCTGGTGATCATCAGCGTTTTTGTACTCTGTTAGGCCTTGTGCCCACGTTTCCTCACTTGCTGTAGACTTTGTTTGTACTGTGATATATATATATATATATATATACCTGCATGCTTGCTCTGCTAGGTAGAGATCACTGTGCTGTTGTTGTTGCATATATAGCTCTGCATGTGAACTGGCCTTCTGGCCCCTTTGCTTGTGCTCAGTGTGTGTGGTGACGTTGTGATCCACCCTGAGCTTGCTTTGCTTCTCTTGACTGGTCTTGTGACCCCTTGCTCTCCCCCACTGTGCCTATGGGGGTGTGTCAATTATATGCATGTTATATCTATTTAGGCTGTAGTGGGGTAGCCAATGTAGGGTACAACTCCTTAGGGTTCTCATCCTTGTACCCAAACTTCCTCGACACTCAATCATCCCTACCAACCTACTCTAACACGAATAACGAGACTGTGATTAACTGATCTGAGAATACAATGAAGGCACAGACTAATGTAGGGACTAGCCTAGCTAGGAGGGAACCTCGGACGAGCGAGGTTGGGTGCAGGTTTGGCGATGGGAAAATGCCGAAGGCGACGCGAGGAGCCTCGGCAGCGTTGAAATCGGCCGAACGTGCAAAGTCCGAAAATCGGGCTGTACGCGAAGCAGTCAACCCCGATAAGGAAATCGGGAAAATTCCTTACAGTGATACTGGTCAGTTTCAGAATTGAAAAAAATATGGTTATTGTTACGTTGGTGAAATCCTATTTAATACAATCCTTTTAATATTTGTTCTTATAGATAATTTAATTGAGAACAACTTTGGGCAAAGGTTTAATAAGGTAGTTGATACGATATTGTTAAGGCAGCTGAAAGCTGTCTTCCGAATATCGCTAGATTGACGACACCTCCGAGCTGCTTGTATCGGAGCATAACTGAATTGACTGTTGCCTGTCACGGCGACACATCCGATCACCATTCGACCCCCCCTTGTCCTCCCCGCGGCCCCATCGCTCCTCAGCGCGACTCCGCTAGTCGCCTCGTCGTCACTATCGAGGCAAACCAGAGCCTTACCCACCAGTCGCCGTCGTGGATTGCGACAGGCCTCCAGCGCAGCATGCCCGACCACACAGCTACCTCATACGCCTCCCGCCAGGCAACGGGCAGCCCAACTCCCCGCCAGCCTGCGCCGTTGCTTTCCACGATGCTCCGCCGTTCCGCCTCTGAGTGCGACGGGTGCGCCGTTGGCGGGCCTCTGACGGGTGAGCGGCGACGCCGCCCCGCTAGCCGCTGGTGGGAGTTGGTCAGCCCGCCTCCATCTGATGCCGCCACGCCCTCACGTCGCCCTCCGTCCGTCTCCGTCGCTCTCGTAGGTGTTGGCTTTTCGTTGGCGAGGGGCAGAATATGGGCGACGGGACGGCGAGGAGGGGCGGGAGAATGCGGAGGGCGGGTGGTACGGATGGCGCGGGACGACTCCACTCGCTGCTCGCTGCGCACATCGGAAATAGAGAAGCGCGCTTGTCCGTTGCTGTTCTGGCCGCCGCTCGTGTTGTCGTGCTCGTGCTGCGGCGAGACAGATCAAGGCCCTTGGGAGCACAGCAGCAGGACTGATTTTCCGCCGCTTTCTTGCGTCTTCTCAGCTTCCCACCCTTCGTATCCCTGCTCAAGCGAACAATAGGACGCCCACACTTAGATCGAACTCGTCAGACTGCCTGCTCTCAACTGCGGCTTTCTAGACTTGGATAGTAGATAACCGCTGCTTTCCCGCCCGTGTCGGCGCTCGCGCCCTCGCAGCGCTGTTGCCACGCACCCCGCGTCTCGCGGCGATGGCTTCGCGGCACCACTTTCCCGCCGCGCGGCACCTCGCGTGCTTCGCGTCGTTCGCGTCGCCCACCCCCTCGCTCACCCCGCTCGTCGACCCCGCCGCCCCCACCACCGACGACCCCTTTCCGTGCACCGCGGACGCGTCGCCTTACGCGTCCCCTGACGCGTCGCCTGGCGCGGAGGGCTCTCTTAACGGAGACGCGCATAGCGAGGAGGGCAGCGCTGTCGCGGAGAGCGAGACTGGACGCGCAGGGCGGGGAGCGGAGGGCGCGCGCATGTGCGAGGAATACGTGGCGGCGTGCGCCGCCGTCATGCGCCACCGCCACGCCCTCGACCACCATGCGCCCTCCGCCTCCGCCATCCCCGCCGCCTCCGCCGTTTCCGCCGTCTCCTCCGTGACCCCCGCCCCGCCTGTCTCGCCTGTCTCTCCCGCGCAGCCGTGGATCGAGCTGGCTGCTGACACCAGCAGTGACGTCACCACGGACATCAGCAGTGACGTCAGCGGTGAGATACGCAACGGCATGAGCATGAGCGGCACGAGGCGGCCGTTCGGCTCGCCCATCATCATGACCCCTGCCTCCTCCGCTGCTGCTGCGGACCGTTACGGGAGGAAAGCTAGCCATGCTGCTGCGTGGTGGGGTGGCGGTGGGGGAGGGGATTGCGGGGGTGAGGGGCGGGTGGTGCAGCAGTTCCATGTGCGCACGGACGACCTCTCTTACACGGTGAGTAATGGGGGAGTATGGGAAGGTGGGGGATGCATCTGGGTTGATAGTGAGATGCATCGTACAAACACATTGGCTATTATCTCCTTCTCCTCCCTCCGTTCCCACTGCCCCTCTCTCATCCCCATCGAAGCCCCTCCCCTCCCCATTTTTCCTTCTAGGTCCTCACCTCTCCCCTTTCCTCTCTCTCTTCGCCCCTTTCCTCTATCCCCTCCCTCCTCTCCCCTCTTGTACTCCCTCAGGCTGTCAACGGGCGCACCATTCTGAACCGAGTGAGCGTGGCGGCTCATCCCGGGCAGCTGCTTGCGCTGGCGGGGCCCTCGGGCAGTGGAAAAACGTCTCTGCTGGACGCCATTGGCTGCCGCATCGATCCGGGCAGCCTGTCGGGGTCCATCCTCGTGAACGAACGCCCCATGCCGCCCAGCTTCCGCAAACACTCCGCCTACGTGCTGCAGGTTGGTTTCGTGTGGTACAGATGGGCTTGTGCAAGTGGGTGGGTGTGGTGTGGTGCAGCTGGGTGCCTGGGTGGACTGCGGGTGGGTGGGTGTGGTTCATCCCCTGGCTGGCCGTGCCGTGTGCTCCTGACCTCGTAGCAAACGTTCCTGCCCCCTGCCCCAACTTCTCTTTCCTTCCCCCACCTCCCCCCCACCAGGACGACGCCCTCTTCGCCCTCCTCTCCGTGCGCGAGACACTCGACTTCGCCGCCAGCCTGCGCCTGCCGGCCACCGTGACGCCGGCCGCGCGGCAGCAGCGAGTGCAGCAGCTGCTGCAGCAGCTGGGGCTCACCGCGTGCGCCGACACGCCCGTGGGGGACGAGCGGGTGGGTGGGGCGAGCGGGTGGGTGGGGCGAGCGGTTGGGTGGGGCGAGCGGGTGGGTGGGGCGAGCGGGTGGGTGGGGCGAGCGGTTGGGTGGGGCGAGCGGGTGGGTGGGGCGAGCGGTTGGGTGGGGCGAGCGGTTGGGTGGGGCGAGCGGTTGGGTGGGGCGAGCGGTTGGGTGCCACTTGGTTCCTGTAGGCTGAATGAGAGTGATTGCTTACCACTTTGGGGCGTCACACACACCCCACCCCTCCTCGCCGCACTGCCATGCATGCTTGCTTCTCAATTTCACATCACATCCCCCCTCCTCTCTTCCACCCCCCTCCCATCAACCCTGTCTATCATGTGTCTGCTCACTCCCATCTTCCCCTCTCCCCAACCTCACTCCCCACCCTCTCTCTCGACCCTCTCTCCCCACCCCCATCTGCCACCCCTTTCCCGACACAGCACCGGGGGGTGTCGGGCGGGGAGAGGAGGCGCACGTCCATCGGGGTGGAGCTCATCCACAACCCCGCCGTGCTGCTGCTCGATGAACCCACCTCAGGTCCACTCCCACCTCAGGTCCACTCCCACCTCAGGTCCACTCCCACCTCAGGTCCACTCCCACCTCAGGTCCACTCCCACCTCAGGTCCACTCCCACGTCAGGTCCACTCCCACCTCAGGTCCACTCCCACCTCAGGTCCACTCCCACCTCAGGTCCACTCCCACCTCAGGTCCACTCCCACCTCAGGTCCACTCCCACCTCAGGTCCACTCCCACCTCAGGTCCACTCCCACCTCAGGTCCACTCCCACCTCAGGTCCACTCCCACCTCAGGTCCACTCCCACCTCAGGTCCACTCCCACCTCAGGTCCACTCCCACCTCAGGTCCACTCCCACCTCAGCTCCACTCCCACCTCAGGTCCACTCCCACCTCAGGTCCACTCCCACGTCAGGTCCACTCCCACCTCAGGTCCACTCCCACCTCAGGTCCACTCCCACCTCAGGTCCACTCCCACGTCAGGTCCACTCCCACCTCAGGTCCACTCCCACCTCAGGTCCACTCCCACGTCAGGTCCACTCCCACCTCAGGTCCACTCCCACGTCAGGTCCACTCCCACCTCAGGTCCACTCCCACCTCAGGTCCACTCCCACGTCAGGTCCACTCCCAAGTCAGGTCCACTCCCACCTCAGGTCCACTCCCACCTCAGGTCCACTCCCACCTCAGCTCCACTCCCACCTCAGGTCCACTCCCACCTCAGCTCCACTCCCACCTCAGCTCCACTCCCACCTCAGGTCCACTCCCACCTCAGGTCCACTCCCACCTCAGGTCCACTCCCACCTCAGCTCCACTCCCACCTCAGGTCCACTCCCACCTCAGGTCCACTCCCACGTCAGGTCCACTCCCACCTCAGGTCCACTCCCACCTCAGCTCCACTCCCACCTCAGCTCCACTCCCACGTCAGGTCCACTCCCACCTCAGCTCCACTCCCACCTCAGGTCCACTCCCACCTCAGGTCCACTCCCACCTCAGGTCCACTCCCACCTCAGCTCCACTCCCACCTCAGCTCCACTCCCACCTCAGCTCCACTCCCACCTCAGGTCCACTCCCACCTCAGGTCCACTCCCACCTCAGGTCCACTCCCACCTCAGCTCCACTCCCACCTCAGGTCCACTCCCACCTCAGGTCCACTCCCACCTCAGGTCCACTCCCACCTCAGCTCCACTCCCACCTCAGGTCCACTCCCACCTCAGCTCCACTCCCACCTCAGGTCCACTCCCACCTCAGCTCCACTCCCACCTCAGGTCCACTCCCACCTCAGCTCCACTCCCACCTCAGGTCCACTCCCACCTCAGGTCCACTCCCACCTCAGGTCCACTCCCACCTCAGGTCCACTCCCACCTCAGGTCCACTCCCACCTCAGCTCCACTCCCACCTCAGGTCCACTCCCACCTCAGCTCCACTCCCACCTCAGGTCCACTCCCACCTCAGGTCCACTCCCACCTCAGGTCCACTCCCACCTCAGGTCCACTCCCACCTCAGCTCCACTCCCACCTCAGGTGCACTCCCACCTCAGGTCCACTCCCACCTCAGGTCCACTCCCACCTCAGCTCCACTCCCACCTCAGGTCCACTCCCACCTCAGCTCCACTCCCACCTCAGGTGCACTCCCACCTCAGGTCCACTCCCACCTCAGCTCCACTCCCACCTCAGCTCCACTCCCACCTCAGCTCCACTCCCACCTCAGGTCCACTCCCACCTCAGCTCCACTCCCACCTCAGGTCCACTCCCACCTCACCTCCACTCCCACCTCAGCTCCACTCCCACCTCAGGTCCACTCCCACCTCAGGTCCACTCCCACCTCAGCTCCACTCCCACCTCAGCTCCACTCCCACCTCAGGTCCACTCCCACCTCAGCTCCACTCCCAACTCAGGTCCACTCCCACCTCAGGTCCACTCCCACCTCAGGTCCACTCCCACGTCAGGTCCACTCCCACGTCAGGTCCACTCCCACGTCAGGTCCACTCCCACCTCAGGTCCACTCCCACGTCAGGTCCACTCCCACCTCAGGTCCACTCCCACCTCAGGTCCACTCCCACCTCAGGTCCACTCCCACCTCAGGTCCACTCCCACCTCAGCTCCACTCCCACCTCAGGTCCACTCCCACCTCAGCTCCACTCCCACGTCAGGTCCACTCCCACCTCAGCTCCACTCCCACGTCAGGTCCACTCCCACGTCAGGTCCACTCCCACGTCAGGTCCACTCCCACGTCAGGTCCACTCCCACCTCAGGTCCACTCCCACGTCAGGTCCACTCCCACCTCAGGTCCACTCCCACCTCAGGTCCACTCCCGCCTCAGGTCCACTCCCACGTCAGGTCCACTCCCACCTCAGGTCCACTCCCACGTCAGGTCCACTCCCACCTCAGGTCCACTCCCACCTCAGGTCCACTCCCACGTCAGGTCCACTCCCACGTCAGGTCCACTCCCACGTCAGGTCCACTCCCACGTCAGGTCCACTCCCACCTCAGGTCCACTCCCACGTCAGGTCCACTCCCACCTCAGCTCCACTCCCACCTCAGCTCCACTCCCACCTCAGCTCCACTCCCACCTCAGCTCCACTCCCACCTCAGCTCCACTCCCACCTCAGGTCCACTCCCACCTCAGGTCCACTCCCACCTCAGGTCCACTCCCACCTCAGGTCCACTCCCACCTCAGGTCCACTCCCATCTCACGTCCACTCCCACCTCAGGTCCACTCCCACCTCAGGTCCACTCCCACGTCAGGTCCACTCCCACCTCAGGTCCACTCCCACCTCAGGTCCACTCCCACCTCAGGTCCACTCCCACCTCAGGTCCACTCCCACCTCAGGTCCACTCCCACGTCAGGTCCACTCCCACCTCAGGTCCACTCCCACCTCAGGTCCACTCCCACCTCAGGTCCACTCCCACCTCAGGTCCACTCCCACCTCAGGTCCACTCCCACCTCAGGTCCACTCCCACCTCAGGTCCACTCCCACGTCAGGTCCACTCCCACCTCAGGTCCACTCCCACCTCAGGTCCACTCCCACGTCAGGTCCACTCCCACGTCAGGTCCACTCCCACCTCAGGTCCACTCCCACCTCAGGTCCACTCCCACGTCAGGTCCACTCCCACGTCAGGTCCACTCCCACCTCAGGTCCACTCCCACCTCAGGTCCACTCCCACCTCAGGTCCACTCCCACCTCAGGTCCACTCCCACGTCAGCTCCACTCCCACCTCAGGTCCACTCCCACCTCAGGTCCACTCCCACCTCAGGTCCACTCCCACCTCAGCTCCACTCCCACCTCAGGTCCACTCCCACCGCAGGTCCACTCCCACCTCAGCTCCACTCCCACGTCAGCTCCACTCCCACCTCAGGTCCACTCCCACCTCAGCTCCACTCCCACCTCACCTCCACTCCCACCTCAACTCCACTCCCACCTCAGGTCCACTCCCACCTCAGGTCCACTCCCACCTCACCTCCACTCCCACCTCAGCTCCACTCCCACCTAAAACTCCCACCTCAGGTCCACTCCCACCTCAGCTCCACTCCCACCTCAGGTCCACTCCCACCTCAGGTCCACTCCCACCTCAGGTCCACTCCCACCTCAGATCCACTCCCACCTCAGGTCCACTCCCACCTCAGGTCCACTCCCACCTCAGGTCCACTCCCACGTCAGGTCCACTCCCATGTCAGGTCCACTCCCACGTCAGGTCCACTCCCACCTCAGGTCCACTCCCACCTCAGGTCCACTCCCACCTCAGGTCCACTCCCACCTCAGGTCCACTCCCACCTCAGGTCCACTCCCACCTCAGCTCCACTCCCACCTCAGCTCCACTCCCACGTCAGGTCCACTCCCACCTCAGCTCCACTCCCACCTCAGGTCCACTCCCACCTCAGGTCCACTCCCACGTCAGGTCCACTCCCACCTCAGGTCCACTCCCACCTCAGCTCCACTCCCACCTCAGGTCCACTCCCACCTCAGGTCCACTCCCACCTCAGCTCCACTCCCACCTCAGGTCCACTCCCACGTCAGGTCCACTCCCACCTCAGGTCCACTCCCACCTCAGCTCCACTCCCACCTCAGGTACACTCCCACCTCAGGTCCACTCCCACCTCAGGTCCACTCCCACCTCAGGTCCACTCCCACCTCAGGTCCACTCCCACCTCAGGTCCACTCCCACCTCAGGTCCACTCCCACCTCAGGTCCACTCCCACGTCAGGTCCACTCCCATCTCAGGTCCACTCCCACCTCAGGTCCACTCCCACCTCAGGTCCACTCCCACCTCAGGTCCACTCCCACCTCAGGTCCACTCCCACCTCAGGTCCACTCCCACCTCAGGTCCACTCCCACGTCAGCTCCACTCCCACCTCAGGTCCACTCCCACCTCAGCTTCACTCCCACCTCAGGTCCACTCCCACCTCAGGTCCACTCCCACCTCAGCTCCACTCCCACCTCAGGTCCACTCCCACCTCAGGTCCACTCCCACCTCAGCTCCACTCCCACCTCAGGTCCACTCCCACCTCAGGTCCACTCCCACGTCAGGTCCACTCCCACCTCAGGTCCACTCCCACCTCAGGTCCACTCCCACGTCAGGTCCACTCCCACGTCAGGTCCACTCCCACCTCAGGTCCACTCCCACCTCAGGTCCACTCCCACGTCAGGTCCACTCCCACGTCAGGTCCACTCCCACCTCAGGTCCACTCCCACCTCAGGTCCACTCCCACCTCAGGTCCACTCCCACCTCAGGTCCACTCCCACCTCAGCTCCACTCCCACCTCAGGTCCACTCCCACCTCAGGTCCACTCCCACCTCAGGTCCACTCCCACCTCAGCTCCACTCCCACCTCAGGTCCACTCCCACCTCACCTCCACTCCCACCTCAGCTCCACTCCCACGTCAGGACCACTCCCACCTCACCTCCACTCCCACCTCACCTCCACTCCCACCTCACCTCCACTCCCACCTCAGCTCCACTCCCACCTCAGGTCCACTCCCACCTCAGGTCCACTCCCACCTCAGCTCCACTCCCAC